TATTTTATTTTAAATTCCGGAAATTAAACAAATTAAAAAAATTAATTCGTACATACGTGATAAATAATTATGTAATAATAATAATAATAACAATAATAATGATAATAAATAAAAAACGAAACGGAAACGGAAACGGAAAAAGGTAAAATGTGAACGGGAAAATGTAGGAGATTTTTATATAATTTTTAATATAAAACCGTCGTGACGTAAAAGGGAAAAAAAGAAAAATTAAAAGACGAAATGATGACAAAGGAGTAGAAAAAAAGGAAAAAGAAAAAAAAAGAGAAATTAAAGGAGATAAAACGGATCGTGTATATATGAAAAAACGGATTTAAGATAAAAAAATAAAAATCCGAAAGGGGGAGGGAAAAAAAAAAGATTTTTAAAAACGATTAATTTTAATTAAAAAAAAAAAAAATTGGTCAATCCTGGAAATATTTTTTGAACGTCCCACGCAATTTTCCTTTTTTTCCTTTTTTTTCTGGAATAAAAATTTTTTTTTTCTGGAAAAAAAAAGAAAAAAAATTTTTTTATTTTATTTTATTGGCAGAATCTCGTCGCGTTTTTCTTTTTTATTTTATTTCATATCGAATTCGGTTATTTAATTATGTCGGAATAAAAAAAGAAAAAATGCTGCCAACATAAGCGTTTATAATTTTTTTTAAAAAAAAGGAAACTAATTTCACGCGTAAAAATCGGATTAAATAAATTCCTTTGATTTCCTTTTACAAAAACGAAAAAAAAAAAATTTATTTTTTGTACCTTTCAATTTTCCTTTTTTTTATCAGGAGCTTCCCTTGGAAAGTACTGAATGAATTTTCCGTTGAGCTGGAATTGGGGGGGCGGGGGAGGAAAGGGGTGTGGTAAAAAATTTATTTATTTTTTTTTTTTACGACAGCCGAATAAAAGGGAAGAAAAGAAAAGGAAAAAATTGATATTCATGACAAACGACTAAAAATAAATAAAACAAAAACACGTAACGTCAATGGCGGAATTACGATTCGTTTATTTTACTTTCTTTTTTTTTTTTTTATTATTATTTTATCGGTATTTAAAAACAGGAGAGCAACAGCACGACAGGAATAAACAAATTTTATTTTTTATTGTAAGGCTATTAAACCCTTTCATTACCTTTCGAAACAAAACGAACAAAAAAAAATCGTCAAAATTAATTTACTGAAAATTATGTTTCCCCCCTTCCCCCCCCATTCAGACAAAAAAAAGGTCAAAATCGTAAATTTTCTTTTTTTTTTAACCGACGACGAATCGATTAAAACGTTTTTTTTTTTTTTTAATTTGTTATGTTGGCAATAGTAGAAAAAAAAAGGACATTAACTTTTAAATTTGCTTCTTCTTTTTTTTTTGTGTTTGTTGAAATTGTTGGGGAGGCGTTTTATGTAAAATTTAAATTGCGTGGGTGGTTGTTTGCGTGTTTGTGTGTGTGCGTGTTTCATTTCATAAAATTTATAAAATTTCCTTTGAATTCGGTGCGGGTTTTCCGTCGTTTAAAAAACCTGGCGTCGCAATTTTTTTAAACGTGCATTCAAACGATTAACTCATGACGTTTAATGTGTATTCTTATGAGTCATTAAAAAAATCTCTCAACGTCCACTTGATGACGTTTAAAAAATGATGACGTCAATCACAATATATATATATATGTTTCTCATACTGTTGCAAATGACAATTTTCTTCTCATTAATTAAACAATTGGGGAAAATAATTAAAAAAAAAACGTTTAATTAAATTTTTTAAATTGTTTTTCCCTCCGGAAAAACGAACGAACGAACGATTCTGAGAAATCTCTCGATTTCAAAATATTTGTTTGTTATTGTTTTGTTGTTTGTATGTTTAAAATCATCTGAACATATTCACGTAACGGGGTATTATTCAATCGGTGAAAGTAATTAGTCGGATTTAATTTTCCATCTCTATCTCTCTCTCTCTCTCACTCACTCATGGAATTTTAGGTTTTTAATAATACTGATGATCCTTTGTGAAATAAATTGTAATTCCTATTTCCCTCCTCTCCTCTCCCTTCTCCCTCCCTCGGGGGTTTACCGTGATAAATCCTGCCTTGAATTTTCTAAATTGCACAACATGATCAATTTTACGATTAATAAATTATAAAAAAGTCGTCTTAGTCGTAGTCGTCGTCGTCGTTGCCGCCACGAAAATTTTAACTTTTGACACGTGAAAAATGTCTAAAAAGTTTTAAAACCTTTTTTTTTTTTTTAAGTCATCAACACATCACCGCAACAGTTAAAGTTATTATAATTTTCTTTTTTCTCTTCTTTTTTGTTAAAAAGTTTTAAAAGTAAAGAAAATTAATAATAATAATAGTAATAATAATTGTTACTACCATTAGTAAAATAAGTAAAAAATTTTTAATTGAAAAAAGAAAAATTACTTTTGTTTTTTTTTTTTTTTTAAAAAAAGAGAAAAATTTATTATTATTATTATTATTGAAAGAGAATAATAAACTAATTTTTGAAATTTAATTAAAAATCCATTTATTTCAGTTGAGTAGTTAAATAAAAACTTTCTTGCCAAACCTCTTGAAAATCGGCCAAACTTATTTTTTTTTTTTTTACAGACAATGAAGGAGGCACTATTGATGAAAGTAATTTGTTCTTTTTTAACTTTGAGCCTTTGCGGAGGATCGATGGTAAGGCCAAAAGAATATAGAAAACTTGTAAGATCCGGTTCGGAATTTGTACCGAACGAAAATAAAATTATGTCCGCCGGTGGAGAACCAACGTGCGAAGAATTAAGAGCCATGTGGAGATTTTCCAGAAGGCAATCGAGAGCGGCTGAAATAACAAACGAAATCCCAACGTATCGAGATCCCTTTGCTTACAACGTATGGGAACAATATCCGAAAGTTCGAAGCGTTTTGGGTATGTTTCGCACACCCGTGAGACCATGGTCGAGACCCATTTACGGAAGAATAGTACAACACGCTCCGAGCAATCATCCACGTGTTATACCACCCGAAAGCAGAGCTTATGATGAAGTATTGAAATACGTAGACAATACAAAACCCGAAGAAGAACCCAGGAGGAGACCTTCGACTCCGACTTATCGTTTATCCGGAGGTCAAGTACCCCCGAACAGATTGTCAAGAACTGGAAGTTTTCAACATTTGAAAGAGCTTATATGGGCAGAGAGAGCCAAAGAATTACATCAGCAAAGAATGCTCGAAGAAGCGGCTGCTAAATCCGCTGCTGAAAAAAATATACAACATTTTAACGACAACAGCAAAAGTTCAAATTCAAATTATAAATATAACATGGATCAGGAAGCAAAAGCTACAAGATTAAGATTATTAAATGGAGAAATGGATTTAGAATCTGCATTCGCACCTGATACCTACAGGAAATCATATCGTCCGAGATTGGTAAGTCCTGTTTTTTTATCAAACCCTTATCAACAAGATAATTATTATTATCTTATATTGAAAAAAAAACGACAAACTTCCGGTAATTTATTTAAGGTGCCAAATTCAGAATACATAAACGAAGATGGAATGTGGTGACGCAAATTAAATTTCAACAACAACCACAACGGTCAGTTATTTAAGTAAATTTTATTTTACCCCAAAAAAAAAAAATTACAATTTAAATTTCAATTTAAATTTCAATTTAAATTTCTTTAAATTCTTTCTTCGATATCAAATTAACGAATTATTTCTCTTCTTTTTTTTATCTTTATTATTACTATTATTATTATTATTATTATCCTCATTTTATTATAATTAATAATTAAATTAAAGTAAAACGAAAAGAAAATTTTAAAAAAAAATTTTAAAAGAAATCTAGTGACCCGTACTTTTTTTTTTTTTAAAAACAAAATTTAAAAAATTATTAAAATTAAAAATTTTAATTGTCTTCTGTTTTTTAAAAAAAATTAAATTAATTAACGAAATCAATTAAATTGTCTTTTGCTGCTGTTATCCCTGATAAAATTTTATTTTTAAAAAAATTAAAAAAAGAAAATTAATTTTCGTCATTTTTAAAAATAAAATCTTATTAAAAAAAAAAAAAAAAAAAAAAATTGTTTCGTCGTCGTCGTTTTTTTTAATTAATATTATTATTAAATTTTTATTATAGAAATAAAATCGAGATAAAATCGATAAATAATCGAATCGATATTTTATTATAATATTTATTTATCGATTTCGGTTTCGAAAAAAAAAATTAAACTTGAATTTTATATAAATAAATAAATTTTTTTTTTATTTTTAAATTTGGCGCGCTTTTTTTTTCTTCTTACGTTTCGTTGCCAAATAATTGTTAAATATTTAAAATTCCGACAAGGAAACGAACGGAAAGAGAGAGAAAAAAAAATGAATTCCAGGTTTTTTATTATTATTATTATTATTATTATTATTATTATTATTTTTCCCTTAAGGAAAATCTCATTCAAATCCATTATTAGTTTTTCTTTTTTTCTTTGCTTTTTCTTCTACCCTTTATAGTTTTCATTCAATTCCATAGTTGATATCGTTTTTCTTTTTCTTTCTATTTTGTACAAGAAACCATTTTAAAGTTTTTTCTTTCCTTTTTTCTTTTTCTTTTTTTTTTAAACCTAAAATTTCTTTATTTATTTATTTATTTATTTTTTTTTTTTTTGTCATAGACGTTAAATTTCCTTTCAATTGAAAATTTTTTTCTTTTTCTTTTTCCATTGAAATCTTTTTATTTACTTTTCAAACATAAACTTTTGAACTTTGTGTTGTAAAAACCTTTTTTTTCCTTTTTTGTTGAGCTAATCCTCTCTTCAATTTTCCTTTTTTTTTTCTCCTTTTTCTCTTTTTTTTTTTTTTTGTATAAAAACTGATTTATTTTTTTAGATAGGAAAGAATCGAATTGTCTGTTGCTAAAAAAAAAAAAAAATGGCAACGACAAAAATCTTACGGCATAATAATAATAATAATAATAATAATAACAATGTTTTTTTTAAATTTCATCCAACAGTCAAAATCGACATTTTTCCATATATAACAAAATAAATTTTCGTGACGACACTAAATGATGACGTAACGGATTTTTTTTTTTTTTTTTAATGAAAAATGACGAAAATATTCAACCCGTTATTATTATTATTATTTTATTTATTAAAAAATATTTTGTTCTTTATTATTATTATTATTGATTAGAAGTCACACACATATCATTCTGTTATCTTAAATATCCCCATCACATATCCAACTGATATCTTCCTTTAAAATAATTCCATTGATAAAAAAAAAAAAAATTTACTTTCTATCTTCTTTTTTGCTTCTAGTACCACGTCGAATTATTTTCAAATTTTTTTTTTTTTTTTTTTTTAAATATATATATATTTTATTATAAATTCAATGGTCTTCCATAATTAAAAAAAAAATTATATTTGATTGAAAATAATAATAATAATTTTGGACAATAGTAAAGAACAATATTTAAATTATGACTCTCTTATATTATATTTATATATATATATACATATGGTATTAATTAATAATAGTAATAATAATAATAATAATAATTGATGATTCGGTTACGGATTAAGAATAAAATACGTATATGTATAATAATACATATACGTATAATCTCCGAGCCCATTTGAGATTATTCTTAATCCGTACCTGATGATAATATACATATTAATATACGCATGATAATAATTATGATAATAATATTATTATATATGTAAAAAAAAAAATTGTAAGCTCGGATAAATTTAAGAAAGGAAATCAATCTCGTGATGACGTCACAATTTTAAACTTGATAATAATAAGTATTATAATAATTAGACAATAAAAACTATATATATATTATTGATGATGATGATATTTTATTTTTTAATTCATTATTTAAAAAAAAAAAAATTTTTTTTTGGTTCCACTTTAATCGGTGGATTATGATAATGATGATAATAATAATAATAATAATAAGTAAATAAATATATTTATATTTCATTAAAATTCAAAATCCAAAAAAAAAAAATTTTTTTTGAATTTAAAATTATTAATTACCGTAATTACATACATAATAATATATATTATATGTATGTATTTAATGATAATAATAATAATTGTTTATGATAAACGCTTGATTATAAACAAATAATTTAAATTTGTGTAATCTGTTGTAAAAAAAAAAAAAATATATATATATATTTATCTTTATCCGAGCTTTAATATTTTTATTTTTATCACGTAAAAAAAAAAAAAAATATTTTGATTCGAATTGACAATAATAATTATAACTTTAAAATTTTTATCATTATCATTATTATTATTACTATTATTATTAATATTAAAAAAAAGCGAGAAAAAATAAGAAAAAAAAATTTTTTTTATCATATATATTGTTTTTTTTTTTTTATCTAACGCTTATTATTTATTTTGAAAATTTACGCTTTTTTAATAATTTTATTTAATTGTTGTGTTTTGTTGTAATTGTTATTATGCCAGATATAAATAATATAAATTAAATAAATAATTTTATGTCAACAATAAATATTTTATTTTATTTTTTATCGTTTTACCGTTTGAATCGTCGAATGATGTTACGTCATCAAATTATTTTGATTGTTTACATTTAACGCGCCATTTTTTTTTTTTTTTACTGTCTTCTTCCACTTTTATTTTGTTATTATTGTATTATAAATGTAATAGTGTTGGCGCCAAAAGTTGCACACGGTTTTTTTTTTTTGTGATGAAAATCATTTTAATAAAATAATTTAATTTTGTAATTTATTTAAAAAGTTTTTAAATTTATTGTGAATTGAAATTAACGTGTAAAAAAATTTTTTGTTCTTTTTAATTGTTTAAATTATTACGTGTGAAAATTTTTTTTGTTTTTTAATCAAAAATAATTAAAATTAAAATTATATTGGCGTGAAATTAATATTAACATTTTTGCTATGGGAAATTTTTTGTTTTTAAACTTAATTTTTTTTTTTAATAACTGATTAATTATGATAAAGTATTACTAAACCTTTGAAGAAGTTTTGTTTATTTTAAATGTGTTTATTTATATATTTATAATTATAATAAGACTCACTCAAAGTAAAACAGGTAAGGAAGATTTAAATAGTTTTTATATTGATTTTAAAGTTTTATTGAATTTACATGAAGTTAACTCAAGAAATCTTTTCTATTTTACTTTTTTTTTTTTCAAAACTATATAAAGATAGTTTTTTTTATAATTTAAAGAAAAAAGCTGATACTTAATAATCAATATTTTATTTTCCTGTTTGAAATAATTTTTTCTTTTAATACTAATAACAGAAAGTCTTCTGCCATATAAAGGATGACATTCAAAGGAAAAAGGGTAAGTATTAAATATTTTTAAATTTTAATAATAATATATTTATTGATTAAGAAAATATATATTCATATATAAAATTAAGCACCATTTTTAAAATAAAAAATATAAATGAATTTGCAACTTGTGCACATAACTTTTCATTTCACCGGGTATTTTTTATATTTTTATAATACTTATAATATTAATAATACATAATAATTAATAGTATAACATTGATTAATTACAAAACATACATAAAAAGTTATCATATATTTTTTTTAAATGTACTAAAGGAACATTCTTTCGATAACAATAAAATTAAATTTTTTTTTGTGAGGTAAATGCAAATAGTTGTTTATAAAAATATGAATATATATAAGTTTTAATTTATAAGTACTTCATTAATCGAATCTTATTAAAAAAAATTTTAATAATTGCTATTTAAAAAAAAGAAGACAGTAAATACATTCGAATAAATTTGATTTAATTTTTTTTTTATTTACAATTTAAATTAAAATTTTATAAACAATTAAATAATCAAATTTTTTGTTATAAACGTGAAATAGCATAATTTTTTCTTAATTAAATCTTTACAGGAGGCATTTTTTTTAAAAAAAAAAAAAAAAAAACTGTTTTACGATTAAATAATTTTACTTACAGAATTATAATTAAAAAAAATTTTGTTCTTTCGTTTAACATTGTTTTGTTGCATAATATTTGATACCATAGACAAAATAAAAAAAAAATGAGTAGTAATTTGATTACATGAGTATTAAATTTGATCACAAACTTATTTTAATGAAGTACTGTTGGCCTCATGTTATTTTAATAATCAAATTTAAATAATTCGACAAACCCTGTTTGTAAGTCAATAACGAACCCTGCGAACAATATACATAATTTATAAAACAACTTTAACCAATCAATTTAAAAAATTTTATGTACTGTGACAAAAAAAACTATCTAACAAAATAATAATAATAATTATAAATAAATTAAGGCACATAAATTTAAATGCCAAAAATTATAATTCATCTCGAATTGTATGACAAAGATTAGAAGCAGAAGTACAAATTTCATTGACAGGATCATCTGTGGGACTTTTTAATTCGTAATAAATTTCATCTTCGAATTCTTCGACTATTCCCTCACACTGCAAAAACAAAAAAAAATAGAAGGTAAAATAATGCAATAGTAAAATACTTTAAAATGAAATTAATACTTACATAAAATTCTAAACTTTTATTAAGATCGCTATCTTGTATAATATCAACACTGCTTATATCAGCATTCATTTTACCATCATCTGCCATGAGTTTAATTAAAACCAATTCTCCAGTTTCCTTTTTTGTCGCTCGAACATAATTATCCATGCTTTTACAAATTGTGTCCATTAATTCAGATAAATGCATTCCAGATCTTGCAAAGGATACCTTGAAAAAGGCATTTAAATTAAAATTATAACATAAAAACTATTTGCTTAAAATGTTAATAATAATACAAGTCGTAATTTTGTTTTCAATAAAAGAAAATTTTTACTTACAACTTTCTCTTGTAATTTTCCATCGGTATCCAACCTGTAACCGCCAACTTGAATTTTTTTTTTTGGATTTACTTTATTTATTTCTTTAATCATTTCATCAATTGTTGCTCTACAAACTAAAAAAATTATTCAATTCATGTTTAATTAATTTCTAACAGATAAAAAATAATAATAATAATAATAATAATTTCATTTAAATAACAACAAAAAAAGTAAATAATTTTTTTTTTTTTTTTAAATTATAGCCGGTAGTATATGTATATAAACAAAACATTGTTTTCGTTAAGTAATTATAAACGTCAAATGAAAAATTAACCTAATTTGGATTACCTAAACATTTTAAATATTTTAAATCGTATTGAGCGTAAGAAAAACCTAATAAGGTAAAAATTATTCCAATTATTATTTTCATTTTTCCGATATAATTTTTTTATTTGCCACGTGTATAATTAACTTATAATAAAACTCATTAACATCTTATCAATAATAATAAAAAAAAAAAATATATTATTTGACGATATCGAAAGCTCACGTGGACCAATTTTACCAACATTAAAAAAAAAAAAAAAAAAAACTATATAAAAATTTGTTTTTAACGTGACTAATATAAGAAAAAAAGTTTTTTTATTATTATTTACAATCAGATTTTTTTTAAAAAACATGTCGTTGAGTTTTTACATTGAAAAGAATAAATAAATATAGATAATTAAATAATAATAATATTTATATTAAATATTAATAATATTTAAAGGTTTCAAAGGCAAATGATGATGACCAATGTAAATGTCGTCTGCATTCAAATGGAGTCCGTTAATTTAAAAAATAATAATAATAATAATAATAATAATAATAAAATCAAAATTTTTTTACCTTAAAAACGTTGATTCCTTTTGCACTTGGTGTGCAATTGAAAAAAAAAAAAAAAATTATGTAAAAAAGTAAAAATATTTTTATTAATGAATAAATAACCTTTTTACAGAAAATCCAATGTGGCTAAACATTTAAAACATTAAAAAAAATTAAAAATGTTATTTTACATAATATTTATAAACAGATAAGGTTTTTTTTTTTTTTAAATGTCGTTCCTCTCTTATAAATTAAATGATTTAAATTATTTCGAAATTACCTTTTTTACGACAAAATGTCCGAAAAAAATAAACACGAAATAAAAAGCATGTTGAGAATAAAATCATCGGAAAACGTTTTGTTAAACGATGATGAAAATATAAATGATATTTACGTTAAAAATGAACCGAAGCAAAATATTCATTTAAAATCCGACATGATTATCGTAAATAAAGTAAATAAAAATAAAAAATTGCATAAAAGAAAAATGTTTTTAAAAAAAAATTCATCAGTTATGTCATCATCATTTGATAAAATACATAGGAAAATAAGGCGTAAAAAAAATTGTAAAAGGAAAAGTTATACGGTTAACGAAAAGAAACCTTTGAATTATAGCAAAAAATTTCAATTCAAAACAAATTTCAGTTTAGAAAAAGTCGTTGAAGTACCAGAAAAGGGAAAAAGAGGACGTTTAGGTGGTAAAGCAATGGAAAAACCACCACACGAGGTTTGTGAATCATGTTATATATATAAAGTATTAGGAGAAGAAATTTTTTGTTCGCCAAAAAAAAAAAATATGGCAACTCTTATTTTAGACAAAGATGGAGAATTTTGAAAGCGATGATGAAAGTGATAATGAATACTATTCGAGAATATCGTTGGGACATTTTCAACATTTGGGTAATTACGACAATGAAGCTTCAACTTCTAATCAGAGTAATCAAAATTATGTTACTAGTATGTCATTAGCAACGCTTGAAGATCATTCAAATGATAATTCTGAAGAAAAAGAATTGAAAGAGCTTCAAGAATGGGGAAGATCATCATCTTTGGTTTACTCTGTGGAAATCAATAAACAATCAACCGAAAAAAATTTTTAAAAAAATGCTTAATAATATCGGGAAAAATGTTTTTAAATGTAAAAATAATTTTTATTTTAGGCTATTTTTTTATTTATAAAATTTTAGTTTTTGTCGACAAAAAACAAAAAAAATTTTTTTGCCGGAATTCTTTTTACAATTGGCGGCAAATTATCTAAAAAGAAAAAATCGTACATTTGACAAATCGTGGAAGTAGAATTTTTTCATAAAAAAAAAAAAAAATCTCTATGTCTTATCTAGTGAGCGGAAAGTTACCTTCACAATAAATGTATATATTTGATAAATTTATTTAAATACTTGCCTAAAAGTTTTGTCAAATCTTTTCGTGCTGAATATCATAATAATAATGTTTATTGTAAATTGTAATTAAAAATAAATCAGGGGATGACATATTCAGTTAAAGCAGAAGATGTTTTTTTAAATTAAATTGAAAATAGGCGTAATTGATCAGCTGACGATTATAAGATTTTCAATAGGTTTTCCAATATGTCAGCTGGCACAAACTTAGTTGTCCCCGTCATATTATGGGGAAAATCTCCTCCGACCCATTGCATTTCGTGTATTTATATTTCGCGGGATCAAAAAAATATTGTTACGGGTTGTTATGATGGACAAATTTGCTTGTGGCAGGTTGACCCAGATACATTAAAAATGACACCTAGATGTTTGTTGGTTGGTCATACAGCACCCGTTCTATGTATAACAAGGTATAAATTTAAGTAGTGTCATGTATTATTTTAATAGATTCATGTATGGGTTTTTCGATAATTTTGACATTAACAGGTAACAATTTTGATGGATAGACTTAATCGGTTTATTCGTGTTTCAGAGCAAGTGTCATTTTAGACAATAATTTTATTGTCAGTAGTTCTGAAAGCGGTGAAATGTGTACATGGGATTTAGTCGATGGTAAATGTTATCAAGTTATGAAATTGCACTATGTGCATACAAACATACAAGCTTATCAAATGGCAGGTTGTGAAGATGCAAGGCTCTTTTGCAGTGGTTATTATGCTGAAGTTTTAATTATGAATCCTTTCAGTTTAGAAATATTATTTATGCTTAGTTCTAAAGTTAATCCTGATTGGATATCTGCTCTTCATGTATTAAGACCAGTAAGAAGAAAAGGTATGCTATGCATTTTAGTGAGTACAACAAAAAAGGGTGAAAAATTTGTTAATTTTAATTAACATTAATGTTATTTATACTATAGATGATGTAGTTTTGGGATTAACAACTACTGGAACAGTTAAAGTATGGACATTGCAGGGAAATGAAACTAAAGCTGGAGAACCTTATTTTGAAAATGAATCAAAACAAATTAGATGTTTAAATGCATTAAGTATGCTCTGCTGTGCTTATAACCAAAGAACTGTTTTAATCGTCTGCTCAAAATATTGGCAGGTAAAATTAATCATTTATCGAAACTGAATTACTGAGACTTTATTGTATTATTTATACCATTTAAAAAAAAAAAAAAAAAATTTATATTTATTAGATTTATGATGCTGGGGATTTTTCTCTCCTTTGTTCTGTGCCTGCTCCTTGCGGTGAAAGATGGTTGGGTGGAGATTTTTTAAGTTCTGATAGAAGTATTCTTTGGTCTGATGAAGGAAAAGGCTACTTGTATAAACTTCCAAACAAGTAATTTTTTTTTTTTTTATATGTCTTTTTTTTGTTTGAGTCATTTTCTTATTAAAAATGTGATTTTAGATGGCATGATTCTGTTTAATGCACTTTTATTTTGAGATAAATTAGGGAGCCACCATGATTACAAATTAAAAATTTTCATCAAGTTAAAATTTCTTTATGAATGCTTTATTAATATAAATAAGAAAAAAAAAAAGGCTCCTTTACTATATTCTATCATCACTTAATCACAAATGCATTTGCTCACTGCTTTCATGCACTCTAAATAATTTTTATTTTTGCTTTTCATTTAGAAGAATAAAAATTATTATTATTATTATTATTACTTTTTTTTTAAATATTAAAGTAGAATGACCTACGAATTTAAAAAAAAAAAAATTATATAAAAACTGGTAGAAAAAATTTTTTTTTTTTTTTTAATTTTTGTTTGGAAAGAAAAAATATTAAAATTATCTAAATGAAAATATTAAAAATGCATTAAAAGGGAATCATTTTTTTTTTTTTTTTTTTAAATTAAGTGTTTAATTTATTTATTAACTAAATTAAAAATTTATAATTTTTTTTATGTATATGTATTTATAAATTTATTGTAATGCTTAAAATATTTTTTTCTAAAAACAGCCTTATACCTGGAAAACGAACTAGGTTGGTATAGAAGATTTCAATTGTATTCAATATTTCCGAATTTTACATGCCTGCTGCAATATGTATATGTATGGATCAGTATCAATTGATCAATAATGAAAAAAATAAATAAATAAATAAACCTGTACAATTTCAATCCAAAGAAAAAAAGTATACAAAGTTCGGTAAATTTAAAAAAAAACAAATAATCGGTTCAACAGAAATTCTAAAAAAAAAAATTAATTTTTAATATTTTTTGGAGAAGGAAAAAAAAATTAATTATATTAATGAATTGTCGGCCTGTATAAAATAATATTATTATTACTATTTTGAATTTAGTTAATTTGACTAATATGCTTGTATATATATTAATATTATTAGAAAGCTTTTTTAGTGCTTTTTTTAAATATTTTTATTTTTTTTAAGAATTTTTGTAAAAAAATCTAATATTTTGTGTTTGTTTAACTTTATTTTACAGTAGCGTAGCCGAATGCAAAGAATTTCTTAGTCAACGCAATGTTGCAGACAATCCCGTACTGTACTCCGTACTAAAAGTCGAAAACGACAAGGTACGCATTTTATTAAAGTTATTTAAAACTTGTACGCGATTTTTCAAAAAAAAAAAAAAATTATTTTTATTAAAGCCATTATCTTGCCCTCCGGCTATGAGCTACCACGTATTAGCAAATCAAACTCAACAAGCAGTTGTTAAATATCTTCTTCGAGGTGATTCACTCGGGAGAATTCACATATGGAAAATCCCTAATGTTTCTGCAAATCAAATATCTCAACTGCAGCAAGAAAAATTTGATAAACTTCCAAGCAAGTAGCGGCTTAAATATTATTAGTTTTTAATTTTTTTTTTTTTTTTAAATTATTTTAAAATACTTTTTTTTTTTTTTTTTGCTTTCCTCACTTAGCACTCTATCCGACGGTGTCTTACAGCCTTTTCGAAGCTTGGAACGCTATGAAACCGCGACCCGTTGGTATTCTTGACCAACTGGTAAGTGTCTAAATAAATTTTATTCTTCTTATATCAGTATTTTAGACGTACATACCCAAAAGTTTCACGACAAACAATTTTATCAAAGGATCGCAATGAAGAAGTCGGAATTAAGTTAACCGCCAGTATATATCTACCGCAGCAAAGTAGACTAGTCATTGGCCGCGAAGACGGCTCTATAATCATAGTTCCTGCAACGCAAACTGTTATGCTTCAATTCCTTCACGGGAATCATCAACAATATGACGGTTATTCTCTATTCTTAAACTCAATTAATTATTTACTCAAAATGTTAGAAAAAAAAAAAAAAAAAATTAAAAAATTTCTTTATTTCTTAGATTGGCCTCCTCATCAGTTATTGTTGGGACACAATGGAAGAGTCAATTGTTTACTATATCCTTACCATGTTGATACCCGATACCATAAATGTCATCTAGTCAGCGGCGGTGTTGATTTTGCAGTTTGTCTTTGGGATTTATACAGTGGAAATTTACTTCACAGATTTTGTGTTCATGCCGGTGAAATCACACAGTTATTAGTGCCACCAAGTAATTGTAATGTACGTGAAAAAAATTTTTTTTTTTTTTATTATTATAAATAATTAATTGAAATTTTAATGAATTTTTTTTTTTTTTTTTATTTTGATATAGCCGAGAATTCAAAAATGTATTTGCAGTGTGGCAAGTGATCATTCTGTCACATTGTTGGGTTTGACAGAAAAAAAATGTGTCGTTTTGGCTTCTAGGCATTTATTTCCCGTGGTGACGATTAAATGGAGGCCGTTGGATGATTTTTTAATCGTAGGATGTAGCGATGGAACAGTTTATGTTTGGCAAATGGAAACAGGTGATTTAAAGATTGATTTATTACTTGGTACTTGGTTTTTATTCGTTTCCAGACATTTATTCGCTTTAAATTGGAATGTTCATTTCAGGTCATTTAGATAGAGTATTACACGGCATTAGCGCAGAAGAGGTTTTGTACGCGTGCGATGATCACATGAGTGAATCGGCAACGTCGGAAATGGGTTTGTCGAATCCTGCGATACATTTTCTAAGAGGTTTAAGGCATAGAAATTTACCAGCCATCCGACACGCAACTCAGGTTTTAAACATGTTTTATTCATTATAAATATTTATAAATATTTGTTTTTAATACTTGTGTGTGTTTTGTTTTTCCAGAGGGGATTACTCCAGCTTCAACAATTACATCACCACAACAATCAAGAAGGAGGAGACCATCAAAAAACTCGAGCGTTTCCGTTGCTCATTCAGGGATTACGAACCAATAACAAAGATCCGGAGAGTCATATTTTGTTTTTCGATATCGAGGCATTAATAGGTACGACATGTAAAATAAAATACCAGCAGTAGAAATAATTAGGTATTTTTAATTTTTATCCTTTATCCTTTTCAGTGCAATTGTTAAGCGAAGAATATGGAGCCATGTCACCGGGTACTCTCGAAGCTCACGGTTTAATTAATCAAAGCGAATATCAAAAGGTTGCCGCTCTGACGCAATCTGCGAGTCCGGATGCTCATAAAAAAATTGCAGGTAAATTTTTCATTTATTAAAAATTTAACTCTCCATTTTTACATTCCATTTTTTTTTTTTTTTGATTTATTAAAAAATGATTAATTGTCTGCTTTAAAAAAAAAAAAAAAAAATAAATATTTCTTGAATTATTTTCTATTCTTGCCTATCTCAGATTTTTTCGGAAAAGTTAAAGACAAAGCGGAAAATGTAGAAAGAATACTAAAGGAAAAGGATAAACACGGTGAGTGTGTTCCCTCCATTATTACGTTTTTGTGTGATGTCCCGTGCTTTTCCCTAACCCAAAACGTTTTCAATTTTCTTCTAGTTTTTTTTTTCCTTTTTTTTTTGTTTTGCTGTTCCGATGGCAAATTATAATGACAAAAAAAAAGTCTGGAAAATGGCGGCAAAGAAAAAAATGTTGTCGTCGCTTTCGGTTGCACAATTTCTTTATTAATCACCGTTTAAATACTTTGCAAATTATTATTTTTATATTTCTTAACTATTGTTTTTGTTTTTGTTTGTTTGAGTTCTTCAAATTGTAAAAATTTATTGTCATCTTTTTTCTTTTCCTCCATTTTCTTCATCGAAAAAAAAAAAAACTTTCGTGAAAATTTATAATTAAATTGTCGGTTGATTGTTTTTCAGGGGTTTTGGAAAAAATGAAACAAGGTGCGGATAATTTACAAACGAAACTTCAAGCCAAAGCTGAAATTGCGGGTTTTAAATTGGGCGGCGGCGGAGGAAAGGGTAAGTTTTTGGCAAATTTAAATTTTTCCACTCTTACGTCACTCTTACGTCACTCACACGGTCGGTCGGTTACCCACAGCAAAAAAAAAAAAAAAAAAAAAAAAAACAATTTTTTATGGGTTGATGTTGAGTCGGTTTGCGAAATGAAAATTTATGCCTTTTTTTTTTTTTTAATTTATATATATTTATTTATTTTTATTTTTTATTTTTTATTTTTATACAATTTTTCTAAATATTTAAATTACATTTAAAATAAGGGAAATATTTATAGACCAGCTATTTATATTTAAAAAAAAAAAAAATTTTTGGAATTGTATGAAGAAATTCTTTGGTGATAGAAAATGGCGTTTTTGAATACGATATTCAATATTAATTAATTCTTACTAGAATTTTAATTATTATTATTATTATTTGTAAACTTCTTCAAGTAGGCCATTTCTTTGTTGGTTGCGCAAAGTTTTTTTTTTTTTTTTTCAAAATGATAATTTCCTGTTGTTATACGTTCCGGATGTAAGATCTCCTTTTCTTTTTTTTTTTTCTAAATTTAATGAGCGTAACTGTAGTGGGAGACAGAGTAGCTGTGTGGAGCAACAACTGCGGAGTAAGAAACTGGAGCGGATTGAACGACGACTGGAGCAAAGTAAACAACTGGGGTTGGGAATCCGGCACCGAGTGGAGCGGTGGCAGCTGGAGTGTAACCAACGGCGTGGACTCCTCTTTTAGCTCTGTAGTGTTGGTGGTGAGCCAAATGTTCGGCACGGGCAGCGGCAACCTTAAAAATTCAATCAATCATTCATTCATTTTTAGTCGCGTCGTGGTGGTTTTTTTTTTTTTTTTTTATCTTTTCAACTTACTTCTGGGGTTTCAGATGGTCCGTGAGATGGGCCAACTGGGAGAGCGTTGCTGCTAACTCTGTATCCCAAAGCATCGGCAACGTAGTCGGTTCTGAAAACTTGTCCGGATGGGGCTACGTAGCTGAAAGATCCTACTTTGTTTCCATGAGCATCCTGTAGAATTTTTTTTTTTTTTTGGAAATTTCAATTTTTTTTGTTGGAGAATTTAATAAAATTTTATTTGATTTTTGTTGACTTACTTGACTGGCGTCGTGGCTTTGGAAAGGTTCAGAATGTCCGTAGCTGGTTTGACCGTGTGGGCCTTGATGACTTTGGTATTGAGTTTTAACTCCAACAACGGCTTGAGAGTGAACAGCTGGACCAGCGACAACAGCTTGGGCGTGAACGGCTGGAGCAGCAACGACAGCTGGAGCGTGGACGGCTGGGGCGGCAAAAACAGCTGGGGCAGATACAGCGGCTGGAGCGTGAACGGAAACAGTGCTGCAAACAGACGTAATAGTTTAAAATTTCATTTTTTCTGATCAAGTATAATAATAATAACAAAAAAATTAATAAATGAAAACTCACCTGTAAGAGTAACCGGTTGGAACGGCGGAAGCTCCGAAACCGGAGTGACCGAAAGCTCCTTGAACGGAGTTATAACCCAAAGAGGCAACTCCTGGGTTGGCAACGGCAACAGCCGCAAGGGCAGACAACACAACCTGTAGAAAAAAAAAAAAAAAAATTTTTTTTTCTTTTAACTAAATCGCACAACACAAAAAAAAAAAAAAAAAAAAAATATTTTTTTTTAATTTTCGGAATTTTTCGGAACTTACCAAGAATTTCATTTTGTGGTCCTTTAGACTAGGATTTGTTAGATCGAATGTGATTGATTTCGGGGAAATGCGGCTTTTATAAGTCAGGCCTGAAAAATATACGGAATTTATGAAGGTCATCGAGACTAAGAGAGTTGATCTCTATGTCTCCCCCCGTACAAAACCATCACTTTATATTATTCTATGCAAAAGTTGAGTCTACTGCGGTTTATTATCAGGGTTGGATTGAATTGATAATTTTTTTTTCCTGCACCGTACCTGTCCTTTTTTTTTTTTAAATGACGAAAAAGCTTTCTGACGATAACATTTTCCGATTTGAATTAGGGCAATTAAAAAAAAAAAAAAAAAAAAACGTTAAAAATTTTTCAGATTTGTCTTGTTTTAAAATAAAATGTCATTTGTAAATTTTTCGTAAAGTATTTTCCGTCAGGCCAATCCAATTCTGAATCGAATTTTCCACTTGGCAAGGCCTTTCGTACACATCTTAGACACACCCTGCCCTAAACTCCTGCATTAGAATACACAGGTATCGCATACATATCTTACCACGTGAATTTTTTTTTTCGTACCTGATTTTTTTTTTTTTTTTTTTTTTTTACCAATCCATAAATCATCACCGTATTATTAATCGTGATTTCATTAATTGAATTCTTTAATTATGTAAACAAAAAAAAACAAAAAAATGGATATTAATATGTCTGTCGATCGTCGAAAAAAATGGCGACACATAATCGTAAACGTGTGATTGATAATTAACCTTACGAGGGTTAAATCGTTGGGTTTGCGGTTTTTTTTTTAGTATAAGTTTGGTGCAATCTTATGATGAATAATTGCGGTTATTTTATTTCAAATCAGAGGTATTTAGAGTTTTTTTTTTTTTTTTTTTTGAATTTGGCTTGATTCGACCCTGAAATAATTTAAACGCAATCATTTTTTTTTTATTTAAATGCCCAACCTAAGTCTTAATTAAATTTAAAAAAAAAAAAAAAATGGAATGTTTTATTTAATGTGACACGTTTAGAAAAATCAACTTGGACGACGTCGTTGGTTGTTGTTGTTGTTGTTGTCGTTGTTGTTGTTGTTGTCGTTATTGTTATTGTTGTCGTTGTCGTTGTTGTTGTTGTTGTTGTTGTTGTTGTTGTTGTTGTTGTTGTCGTTGTTGTTGTTGTTGTTGTCATTGTTGTTGTTGTTGTTGTCATTGTTGTTGTTGTTGTTGTTGTCATTGTTGTAGTTGTTGTTCCTGCTGCAAATGCTTCAGAACGCTCAAAATTTTTTTCTTTTACTTTTATTCTTTTGCAAGAAGAAAGATGTTTTTTTTTCGTCCCCTCCCTTCCCCCCTCTTTCCCTTCTTTCCTCTCCGGTTTAATGATTCCGTTCTTTTAAGTCACTCACGTTGCAACAACCATTGTGACAACAAAAAAATTGACATTTCGTCCAAGTTCGCAATCACGCTAATTGGGAAATTTCGTTGCGTTAAAAATTTTTTTTTTTTTTTTTTCAAAATAAGTTTTCCTACTTGGTTCCTTCGCGATGGTTTTTCTACTTTTTTTTTTACCGGTAGTAATTAATTACTTACCGGTTTTTACCGGGGGATGAATTGTTTGTCGTTTGTTTTCATCGGTTTTAACGTTTCTATCGAAATTTTACCCAGTGCCAACGAACAGTATTTAAATTTCACATATTCCAAAACAACAACCGACCGTTTTTATGTTTAATTGAATGTTTCAATATTACGTCGTACGTTGAAACGTCGAATAAAATTTTTTTTTTTTGAAAAGCTCGAAACTTGAAACAAAAACAATTTGAATTTGTTTTCGGATCGGGGCAAAATTAAGAAATTTTTTTTTTTGTCTTTGTCGAAAGTCGAGGTCGATCGGTGATTTTCACATGATCTTCTTCGAACTTTTGGGAAAAAATGGGGGGGGGGAAACAAAAAAAATATTAAACACGTTTTTCGTTTGTGGGCGCGGCGCCATTTTTAAAGAAAAAAATACGATCATAATCGATGTGCGAAATAGTTTATCATTTTTATTCACGATGAAAATAATCTTGAACTTCATAAATTTCAGGGTCGTCGGGACCGTTTTATTTCATTTTGTTTTTGTTTTTCTTTAAGGTATACCGGTAGATTGAGAGAAACCACCCCTCCTCCTCCTCCCCCACCCTCAGAAACAAGCAGGTATAATTTTTTCGATTACCTTTATAACACCTGAAAAAGAATGAGATTTTGTTTTTGGGAGACGCGTTTAAAATCGTTCAAACCTTTTTTAAAGTTTCGTCCTTAGGGATTGAATTACGAACGCGGAGGAGATCCCGAGGGAACTTTTCCACCATTTAATTACGATCGTATCGTAAATTAATTATTATTATTATTATCCGATAAATTTTTAATCAATCCTTTGATTAGTTTTTTTTTTTTATTTTTTTTTACCCGATTGCACGCGTTCCAAATAATAAATTACACAATGGATCGTGACAAAAAAAGGGAAATTTTTAATCGTCAATCGATTGATCGATCGATCGATATATCGATCGTTACAAATCGAATCAAGATTGTACGAAATTTCGATTGTATAATCGAGACAATTTCAATATTTGAATTGTTTTTTTATTTTTATTGACACGTTTCAAACGGATCCGATTAATTGTTTAACTTGATTGTTTTCCTCTCTCTCTCTCTCTCTCTCTCTCTCTCTCTTTTGACTCCATCTTTGTTTGAACGGTTTTCATTCCCTACGGGATAAACATCCGCTAAACAAATTGTTTTGTTGTTATTAATCCGCAAAAAGTTTTTCAGATTTCAGGGAAACTTTTGCTACCTTTTGCGTTTTTTTTTTTTTTTTGCATTGTTCGATTCGGTTCGAATCAGGGGGGCGGTAAACTGTTTGAAAAAAAGAAAATGTATATCTCACCTTGTCGCAATAGTTTTACCTATAAAAAAAAAAAAAAAAAAAATTTTTTTTTTATGTCTCTTGGCAAATTGGAATGAATAAAAGAATAATATCGGAATATTGCCGGAGTCTATGAAAATTCGTTTCCTTGTCGATAAAGAAAATTAGTTTTGGAACCTTTTTTGAGCCCTTAAACAACGCACATTTTTTTTCATTTGGCTTTTAATTCGTGTTTATATAAAAAAAAAAAAAAAAAAGGAAAAAAAATCAAAGGGGAAATAATATAACGATAATAATAATCATTTTCAAATATTTTACCTGCCAACTATATGAATTCTAATCATTATTATTTAATTTTTTTTTTTTTAATTATTATTATTATTATTATTACTATTACTATTATTATTATTATTAGTATTATTATTATTATTATTTTTATTATTATCGAATTGAAAGTTTTTTTAGCACCACAATTATTATTATTATTTTTTTTTTCATCAGAGTGTGACAAATTTACTATACTATTTGTGTAAAATGTGTTTTAAATATTTCAATTGTGAATTGAAGAGTTGGGGGAGGGGGGAAAATTACTCAACATTAAATGTTGTGGTATTAAATTGTTTCATTAATATCATTATTATTATTATTGTTTTTTTTTTTAACTGTCTATGGGTCAAACGAACTTGAAGAATTTTAATTTACCTTGTGAACGAGTAAAAAAAAAAAAAAAAAAAAAAAAAATTTATTACCTTCTAAGTCCTTGTTTAAATTGTCGTTTATTTGTAATTGTAAAACCAGTTAATAAATGTGCGACATTTTTTTTTTTTCTTTAAGGTATGCGGTTGAAACCTTTTTTTTTTTACGCGACAAAAAAATCAGGGATTTTACAACGTCGCATTTTTTTTTTAAAATTTAAATATTGTTTTGACGCGGGGGAGGAGGATAGGATTAGTTACCGACTGATAAGAATTTTTTGAAAAAAATATTAGTATTATCATCATTATTTTTATTTTATTTAAAGATGGCGGAAACGAAACGAATAAAAAATCTCGGGGATTTGTCGGAATGGAACAAAACATCACAATGGAAATAGCTCAGTTGCTTCTTTCTCTCCTTCACGCTTGGGGCATCGACATGGATTTGGATAAAGTATGCGAAGGTCAATTGGGCCTTTTGAGACCCAAACTTCCAGTTTCGTTTGGAGTCCTTTCAAAGGGAGGTGAGTGGACTGGGGGGGGGGAGGAAGGAAGGGAAAACCCACCAAACTTTTTTTTTTTTTTTTTGCGGGGAAAAAAAAGAAAATGAGGAGAGAGGAGAGGAGAGGAGAGGGAAACGTTTCTTTTTTATACGCCCCTGATTTTAAATATCAACATTTGACAATGTCGAGTCACCCATATCGACTACGATACCAGTTCAGTGACGGTTTAAGGAAAATTTTAATCGTCTCTTTTTTCCTCGAAGAAATTTCCAGTGACAGTACCTTGACAGTCAAATCGTTAATTATTAATTAAAATAATTATTTATAATTACGAACATTATTTACTTACGTCAAATATTAAATTGTTTCCTAAAACGGTAAAATTTACCGTTTAAATAATGTTTTAAGGTTACATGAGTTTGTTGCTACCGACGTGGCAACCTGGAAACGTGAACGATTTAGATGTCGAACCCGAACCCAGCAACAGCACTACGACAGCCAAAGCCGCTTCTAATACAAAACCTACAGCGTCGGAAATTAGGTTCGTTCCGTTTGTTTTGAACGTTACGCGTTACCGGAATTAAGTAAAAAAAATTTTTCTGTTTTCTCTCCTCAAAAGGAGTCTCGAGGGTTCTTTGCCTCCCGAAGAAATAAGGTTGGAAAAGTTGACGAGACTTTTCACGGCTCGAACGCATTGGGAATTGAGCACGACGTTAACCAGCAATCACCTTCTTGCCATAATTGCTTTATCCAATACATTCATGTCTATGAATAATGCGACGTTTGTTCCCGAACAGGAGCGTAACCGAAGGCTTCACAGGTATTTTAATTATCCTTATTGCATATGTTGGATTGAAATAAAATCCTTGTCCTTGTCTTAAAAAGGCAAAACACGATAACGGCGTGGAATTTACAAAATAAGGCTCAAACGGAAGAAAACGAAGAACGTTACACGTCTCAACAAGCTCACAGTAAACAGGGATGGTCGCTGTTGGCAACGTTGCATTGCGTTTTACTTCCGGATAAAGTTGAAATGAGAGGATCGAAAAATTTTAAAAGGCCTCAAGTGGAAATGTTGGCCAGAAGGTGGCAACATCATTGCCTGGAGGTGAATATTTTTTTTAAAAAATAATAATTTAACCTTTTTACTTGTTTTTTTTTTTAATTTTAATAAATTTTTTCAGGTTCGGGAAGCGGCACAAGCTCTTCTTCTAGCCGAGCTTGGAAGGTTAGGTCCCAAAGGACGGAAAAAATTAGTGGAAGATTGGTCTCAGTATTTACCCAAATATGCAACGTTAGAGCCTCATCAACAAATTCAAGCTAGTCATTTGCAATCCGTACAGCAGCATAATACTCACGCCGAACAAGGAAATCAGGTTCACGAAGATGAAGAAGAAGAAGAGGAAGAAGTTGCAGAGGGTGAGGGAACTCGAATAAGTGGCAAAACGAATTTTTTGGGGGGAAATTATTTTTAAAATGTTTACCGTTTGTTATTTAGAATTGTCCACGCGAAAGCCTTCGACGGCTGCTGAGCTGAAGAGAAAAGAAACGACAGCCGTTGTTTTATTGGGAGTCATAGGAGCGGAATTCGGACAAGATACATCCGACGGCAGGAAACAGGAAGACAGGAGGAAAAGTTCGGTTGCTGAAGGATTTAACATAAACAATAATTTGGCGCGACAAACGAGTTAATATAAATTTTTATTTACTCCAGTTCGTCTCTCCCTCGTTTTGTAATTTTGGAGAAATGGAAAAAAAAAAAAATTTAAATAATTTTTACAGGTTTGGCTTTGACTCATCTTCTGTTGGCACCTCCGTCCTCGAAACTTCCAGCGCATACTCAATTGAGACGAGCAGCCATAGATCTCATAGGAAGAGGTTTTACCGTTTGGGAACCATATTTGGAAGTCAGTAAAGTTCTTTTAGGTTTGCTTGAACTCTGTTGCGAAGCCGATAAATTGGTACCCAGGTAACAATAACATTTTTTTCCAGAATAAAAAAAAATTTCGAGTCGATTTTTTCAACGACGATTGTTTTCTTATTTTAGCATGACTTACGGCCTTCCTTTAACACCTGCCGCAGATTCCTGCAGGACGGCGAGACACGCTCTCACATTGATCGCAACAGCCAGACCGGCAGCATTCATAACATGCATGGCTCGAGAGGTAACTTTTTTTTTTGTTTTCGGCGTTTTGTAAAATACTTCAAGTGAAAAATGAAAAAATGTTTTTTTATCAGGTTGCCAGGTATAACACGATAGCTCAAAATGCTCAAGCTCTAAACGTCAATCTTAACAATTCGGTTCTTCATCGGGCAAAACCGGAAATACTGAGAGGAATCGAATTACTCATTGATAAAATGCAAAGTGGAATATCTGATCTCTTGGTGGAGGTATCATCACAAATTAATTTTGTTATCGTCTTATTATATTCGGGGGGGAGGGGGACTGGGGGTTGGTTTTGATTGTATTCAAACGACCGTTCCTTTGCAGGTAATCGACATAATATTACACTGTTTGGATCCGGGACATTTGAAAAACAAACCTTTGTCAGAAGTTTTTCCAGCCGTTTGCAGGTTCAATCAAGTGAGTCATTGTTTTTCGACTCGTCGAATCGCTGTCGGAGCCAAAAGTGGTCAAATCGCTTTGTACGAACTTCGTTACATTAAATGCCAGGTTAATTACCTATTATTATTATTATTATTGGTTTCGTTTTTGAATTTTACGTTTAAAAAAAAAGCCGTAATTTCAGATGATACCTGCTCACGAGGCGGCCATAACCTCTGTCGCATTTTCTCCAGATGGTAAATTTTTGGCATCTTACAGTTGCGACGAAAATCGTTTGTCTTTTTGGCAGGTGAGTTATTTAAATTTCCTCCCTTTTTTATTTCTTTTGGGAGTTTTTTATAAACGGGATTTTTTTTATTTTCAGACGTCGACGGGAATGTTCAGGTTGGGTACGACGCAAACGAAATGCACCAAATCCTACAGCACATCACCGATACCAGATTCGACTCGTTTAAATCCCATGAAAGTAGCCAAACTCATTTGGATCAACAGCAAAACCGTTACCCTCATGCTTGCAGACGGTTCCGAAACGAGATTCACAGTTTAATAATAATAATAATAATAATAATTTTATTCAAAGGAAACGTCGGGAAACCCGGGGAATTTTTTTTTTGTTTTTTTTTTTCAATTCAAAATTTAAGTATTATTAAACCGTATTAATTTTCACACGCCCTACCACCTTCACATTCAGTCACCCAATCAATCAATCAATCAATCATTCCGTATTCAAGACAATAATAGTAATAATAATAATAATTTAAAAAAATGATTCGATAAAGTTGTAATGTAGTTTTATTTTATTTTTTATTTATGTATATTTATTTGTATCATATTTATGTATACCACATATGTTAACAATTTATGTATATAAATATATATTGAAAAAAATATATATATATATGTGTGTGTGTTAAAAAATAATAATAATAATAAAAGTTAGTTTGGTTTAGATTAGTTGTTATCACTATTATTATCAGTATCATTATTATTATTTTCAATTTTAAATCACGACAAGGTTTTAAATACTTGTCGAAATTTTTAAGCATTTATTAAATACAATAAAGTAAAAATTAATAATTTTAAAGAAGCAGGAAAAAATATTTGGTAATGATAATGATAATAATTTTTTTTTCTTTTGAAATTTTTATTGTCGAACGAGAGGGAAAAGTTAATTGAAAATAAAAAATTTATGCGAAGAGTTTTTAATTCAGAGAAAAGGATTAAATAAAAAAATAAATTTATGTATTTATAAATTTAAATAAAAATTTATTTCATCATGTGATTAAATTATAAATTCATTTTAAGAATAATAAATAAATAAAAAAATATATATATACAAATAAATATGTTATTTTATTTTTAATAATTGTTAGTCAATCGCATCCTCTCTCTCCACCGTGACGTCTATGTACGCTGTCGCCACCATGTACAGAGACGCCCTTTGGAGTTGGTCCGCCTTTTCGCGAAGAGGCCGAGCTGCCGAAACCGACTCGGCCCAAACCGGAGCTCCGTACAAGGCCACGGAGTGAACGACCATCGCGTATAGTCGTTTGACCCCCTAGCCTGTGGGCCGCGCTGACGGCTCCGGTCTTCGGTCCGAGGTGCGCCAGATGTTCATATTAACCGAGAATTAAACCCAGGTATTTAAGAGAGCCCCCAAGTTCGATTCTCACGTTGTCTACACTTAAGGAAATGTCGTGAGGTCGCGGGTTCCGCGGGCGATGAAACTCGCACGCTTCCATTTTCGGCAGGGACACCCGAAAATTAATGCCGCGGATGGCCTTCACCGTCGCGAAAAGTCCCGTTCTGCACGTTCGCAAACCTCCGCCCACCCACGACCGGTCGCGAGGAGTAGGGTGTCATCCGCGTAGCAAGTCAGCTATACGCCTACGGGAAGAACGGTCCGGGTGAGGACGTGGTCATAGGTGATGTTCCACAAGAGTGATCCTAGGACCGATCCCTGGGGCACGCCGCAGAATACGACCGCCATTCCCGTCGTTCCGTTTGGTTTCTCGTTCGCGATCTTCCTCTCCGAGAGGAAGGAACCAATGATTGACGTCAAGTGGTCGGGGACGGACTTCGACGTCAGATCGTCTCTTATCGCAGACCACAGTACCGAATCGAATGCGTTTTTTATGTCCACGGAGACGGCAATCGCGACGCCGCCCTAACGAAGAGTCTCCATGATTACACCGCAAACGCGATCGAGTGCGACGGTTGTCGAACGGCCCGCCCAGAAGCCGCACTGATTAGGAGAGGGGTCGTTTCTCCCGTAAGTGGTCGTCGATCCTGGGTCGTCGATCGGGGCGCGATCACGCGCCCGAACAACCTCCCCTCTACGCAGAGAAGACAAATCGGCTAATACGGGCTCGGCGTCGTCGGATCCCTGCCCGGTTTGTCTAGTAGCACGAGGTTGGCTTCTTTCCAAGTCGTCGGAAAGGTCGCCTATCGGAAGCACGCGGTGTAGAGCGCCGAGAGACACGCTTACAGCACCCCAGCAGACTGGCCCAGAATGCGGAGCTCGAGCCCGAAGCCGAGCGCCTCTTCGAGGCCGCGTCGAGGAGGAAGCGAACCTCCCCCTCTGATTGACGTCGTACGAAAAATCCGCCGGGGGTTCGACGCGAGGAAAGAGCTCTGCGATCACTTCGGCGAGAAACTCCTCCGTCATGCCGGCCGTCAGTGGTCCCGACGAGCCCCTGAGTTTGTTTGTCACGAGGCGGAAGGGAAGACCCCACGGATCCGAATTCACTTCGTTTAATAGTTTCTTCCAACAAGCCTCCTTGGAACTCCATATCGCTCGGGGAACCCGAACCCTCGAAGCCCTCAACTCCGCCTTGAATTCCGCGAGTGCGTCATCGGTGATGATGTCCTCGTAGCTGCCGCCCTGTCTGAGTAATAGCCGTTTTCTGCCGACGAACCGGCAACGTGCGAGGCAAGACTCCTTCCAAAACTCTCCTATCTCGTCCGTCCACCAGTACTTTGCCCGTTTGTGCGTCTTTCCGCGCAAGCCGACCCTCTTCATGCAAGAGTTCGAGATCCGACGAAAGTCGTCCCGGACTTCCTGAACCATTTCGTGCATGCTTCGCCTTGCACCTAGAGGAACTTCATTTCTTCAGAATTCCGCGGCGAGGCACTCGATGAGCCGTTCTGCGGTGAACGATTTAAGGCTCCACCGGGGCGGGACGACGCGAGGCGAGGAGGCGGCACTCTCTTGAGCTCCGAGGAGTCATAAATGAAAACGCCACGTAGGCGTGATCGCCCAGGGACTCGAAGTCAGAGAGTCAGAGGGGACCTCCCAGCCGGAGCCTTTGAAGGCGGGTGACGCGTACACCGAAACCAGGACTACGATTCCCCATCCTACCATCACGAATTCCATCCCACGGAAATATTCCCGAGGTCTCGGACCCGATGCCGAGCTCGAGAAGAAGATCATGCTCGGCAGGACATCCCCTCCCCCGACGGGACGACGTAAGGCTCCGAGATCATCGCGACCTCGACGCCTCACGTCCCTATCAAGTTCAGAAGGAGATCCTGAGCCCCTTGCACCTATTCAAGTTGACTTGAAGAAAGTTCCCCCTGCTCACGGCTAGCGACCGGCGGAGCCGTTCGTTCTCGGCTGGCACGTAGAGGTTCCCCCCCTAGCACTCCCCCAATCCTACCGGTTTCGGTTTCCCATCGGAATGGTGTACCCTTTACGGCCGGCGCCTTGCACGAAGACCCCCTGAGCCGGTGTTGAGCCGGTGGGGCTGCCTCCGAACAGGGAGCGCAGCAGACTTTGTTTGCGCATTCACGCGCCCGGTGCCCCCCTCCTCCGCATTTGAAGTAGCGATCCCACGCCGTTTCCCCCCGATCTCTGAACCTGTGAGCCTAAATGACCGGAATTTAGGCACCTGACACAGATGACCTTGCGTTTCGGCAGCAAGACCACCCTCACACGCACCCACTCGACGTCCACCACGCTCACCTCGAGGAGCGCGAACGTGGCGGCCGCCGGGACGGATATGTGCGCTGACGAATAGAATCGTGCGCCTCCGCCGGTCGGGGGAGGCGCCGAAACGTGTAAATGCGAGCAGTTCCCCACTGTCGATAACTTCGTTGCGACCATCAGCGGCGTCGCGACTCGCAAATACCGTCCATGCGCAGGTCGATTCTTCGCACTGGGCACGTGACCGTGACCCTCATCGACCCTACGTCGCTTTCGATCCTTGCGGAAAGCTTTGTCTCCTTGGCCCACTAAAACTTCTGGGCATGTCGCTATAGCGTGACCTGTATGGAAAGAGGGGGGAAGACGCTCGTGGGAGTATAACCTACATTTCAGTCTCCCCTCTCCGGTAGGTCAGAACGTTAGCCGTTCCACATGATCGCTTTTGGGGAGGTCCGCCCTAATCTCCGTTCCGTCTCCACCTCGAAGATAAGAACGAACCTTCCGGGACGTTCGCACTTTTCGGGAGTGTCCACCGGTCCCTCGCCGTGGGGGAATTGGACGAAAACTCGCCTGTTTCCTGAGGATGCGATCGGGGCTGGGGATTGAGACTTACCACGTCACCTGAAAAGGAGTAAAAAGATTAAAGTGAAGAGTTATTTGACCGCATCCTCCCTAGCGGTGTAGGAAATAGAAAGGGGGACAGAAGAGGAATCGACCGGGGTCGCCGACCCTCGAGAAGAAAGAAAAAAAGTATGTGTGTGTGTTCGCCCGACGACGACGGGTTCGCGCCCGCCGCCGCCGCGCGTCCTCGCCCTCACCTTTGCAAAGACGTTCGCGACCTGCCACGTCGCTCCCGCCTCCGCCGCAGGAGACGGAGCTTCCGGAAACGACCCGGACGGGTTCGCTACTCCCGGCCGGCCCGCCCATTTCCTTCACCTGCGCGCCTCGCCGCTACCATCGCTCCGGGAGAAAGATCGAAGACATGAACCTGAAAAACAGAAACGTTAATCTCCGTTCCCTCCCCGACGAACCCGCGACGACCGAAAGTTCGACAGACTCTGATCGCCGCGAAGAACGCCAACGCACCGAAGCCGGGACGAATCCCCCCCCCCCGTCGTAATCGAGAAAGAGATCCGGAGCCCGACTCGGAGTACGGAGACGAATCCTTTCCTCCCTCGTGCCTCGGGAGGCAGTACCGACCTGCCACGTCGTTCCCGCTTCCCCGCAGAGACGAAGTGAGCTTCCGGAGGCGGCGAGAAGTTCCGAGGTTGCCGGATCGACGAAACATCCTCCGCAGTCCGTCCGCATTTCGCCCCTGCCGCCGTCCGATTGACTCTTGCAGTCCGAAGAGCGAGAATCCGACCGGTGCGGACTCCGACGTCGTCGTCATCGTCGGATCCGTCGTCGTCCCGATTTTCATCTTTGTTCGCATCTTCTTTCTGCCGTTGGAGTGAATCGCACGCACCGACCTTAAGCAAGCGAACCACTCCCCGAGGATGACGAGTTTTCGGAGACGAGTCGATCCCCCGCGAGAAGAGTGTCCCGTTCATCCCCCGCAAGAAGATCTTCCCGTCGTCCTTTCGCTCGCATGCCCGTTTTCCCGGAGCAGGATGATGAACCCT